CCTTCAAGGCTCAGGGGTCCACGATTATCTTCTGTGTCTGTGTTAATTGGTTTCCCTTTTCTTTGTTGAAGAGGGTCTGTGCAGTCTTTCTGCCTAGTCCGCCATCTTGCCCCGCAGCTGTTTGATATACTTTTGTATCTTTCCTTTCAAAGTTTAGGGCTCCAGGATTATCTTCTGTATTGAGTCTCTTTTCTTTGTTGAAGAGGATCTGTGTAGCTTATCTTCTTTTTCTGCCATCTTGCTAGAAGTGCTTAGTTTAAGGTTTAAAGATTATCTCAGGGCAATATTTTCAGTCTTCATCTCATCTCCATGGACCCAGAAAATCTGGATTCCATGAGAAGTTGTAATTTTGTTCTACATTTTTCTCCTCTTGATCAATATTCTTCTATAGAATCTTTTATCAAAATGTTTGGTAACGGTAACCAGGCACCGTCCTATTCTGGTCTCATGGCAAAGGATGCAGTTGTTCATGGAGTATTTCATGTAATCTTACAATAATGATGAGTAGCAGGGTCTATTATTATATTTTAAAGAGAAAGAAGCTGACGTTTCGCAAGATTAAGTAGCTTGCCAAAGGCCATGGTGATTAAGAGGTAAGAGTCCAAGCATTCAGACTTCAGAGTGTACAGTCTTCCCTACTCTGTGATACTACCTCCCTGAGCTGACAGCTGAAGGAGGAATGGATGGATGGAGTTATTCATGGGAAGGCAGACTTGTAGGAGAAGTCTTCCCAGGTCTACTACTCAGCGTTTGTCTGCCTGGGTACGTAATTATTTACCCGAATAGCAACTGTCCTCACATTCCAGCATTTACATAGGAAGTCCCTATAAAGAGTTGTCTGCCAGCTGACTTTCCCCATAGCCAGAATGTACTCCTGGCCAGGTGGAACAGAAAACAATTACTCTGCTGGGTCATGCTGAGTTCATCCTATAAGTCTGACCTCACTCCAAATATCTAAGTTTATCAAGAAACCAACTACAATTACAATCATGTCTGTCCCCAATCCCATGAGGGGCCCATTTAGAGACTGAGCCCCTGTCAGGCTATAGGACAGAAATAGAACTTCCCGGAGCTGACCAGCTGGGATTGAGAATAGGTTAGGTACAGCTCTTGTAATTCTTTCTCTTTGTCCCTTGTAGGATGAGTGCTCCATGAAGTCAACACCGGGTCTGCTCCCTTCTCCTACTTTACCAATGCCTGGCCTCATGGGCTTAGCTTTGGGCCCAACAGTATGGCATCACCAACCTCCCTGCCAACTCCTTGCTCACAGTCCAAGAAGCCAATGGGCAAGATGGTTGGTGAGTACAACCAGATTCCTACTTCGGCTCTTGTTCCTAGGAGTGTGGTCCTCAGTGTCCATATTGTTGAGGCAGGAGGACTGACTGGTCCAAACACAGGAGAGATGTGGGGAAGTTGATGATGGGATGAGGCTCTTGACTTAACTTCAGAGTCCAGATGGTCACAGTTCTCATAGAGGTGGGAGGCATGCCTCAGTGGACTCATCAGTCCTCTTGGCTCACTAGTTTTCCAGTCCTGTCCAAGTAATCCTCCTAGCCTGGAAACCATTGTCCTGAGTGCTCGGTATTATGTCTCTTATCATCTAAATCTTTCTTCCAGAATCATTCAGAGGAAGAAGCCAAGCAGAGAGAGAGAAAAACAACTCAATCTCTGGAATATCAAACTATCTGTCCCTATCAAAAGCTGGGGAAACTGAGTTAATATCATTATGAAGTACTTACAATATAGCAGACACTGCATTATCACAGCTAATCTTCAATGACAACTAAAATGAATCCATTTTATAGATGAATAGTAGACAGGGACTAATTTGCTTAAGGTCATACAGAAAGCAAGCAGCACATCCACAATCACATCTGTGTGTCTGACTCAAAGTGTAGATTCTGAATCACTAAGCTTTGTGATTTTCAGGACTTCTGAGCCGTAGCCATTTCTATACTTTAGTTTTAGTCATTTAGCAACAATCTGAGATTTCTCAGTACCAAGTAGATGCCAGTGCCTCCTCTTGCCTTTCCATAATGGATGATCCATCTTAATATAAATTCACCTCCCTCCAGTGCTGAAAGTGAACTCTGGCACTGACTGATCCTCATTAGCATAATATAGCACTACTCACAGAGCTCGTAAACCAAAAAATCAAACTCACTGCCATCAAGTTGCATCTGACTCATAACGACCCCTTCTTGGGTTTCCGAGGCAGTATCACTACAGAAGTAGATTGCCCAACCCTTCTTCCGAGAAGTGCCTGGTGGGTTTGAACCACCAGCCTTCTGGTTAGCAGTCAAATACCTTTTGCGCACTATGGTTGAATAGTCGGGTCTAGTGGAAAGCTCTAGTTAAGCAGGTCTGAGGGTTCCAGAAATCAAAGTGCCTGGAGCAGGGCAAGGCCATCCTTCTCAATCAGGGTGGTAAGACACTACCATGTAAGGATTCCAAAGTTCTCATGTATTTCTGGGACCTTTCAAGATAGAGGGAACTTTTAGGCGAGGCCTGGAGAATATACAAAAGTAGAATAACGATAGGTCTCTGAGAGTAAGAAAGTATTGTTTCCCATGATACAGGAGCCCATGCCCAGTAAGGGCTTCTCTCTGCCTGGTGAGTGAATGTGCATGCCTGAGCTGTTCATTTCTTCCACAGACTGGTTCCGGCAGGCCCTGTTGAAGAAGCCCAAGAAGCTGCCCACCTCTTCAGAAAGTGCCCCCAGTGATGTTTCACAGCCAACTTCACAGAAAAGTTCCCCACCCCTAAGCCTCAGCTCAGTCAAATCTCCTACCCTGCCACCAACAGCCATGTGTGCCAGCAGCAGTGGCCGTTGGAGCAAAGAGTATGATGTCTGCGTGTGCCACAGTGAGGAGGACCTGGCAGCTGCCCAGGAACTGATTTCCTATCTGGAAGACAGTGCTGCCAGCCTACGCTGCTTTCTGCAGCTTCGGGACGCGGCCCCAGGTGGCGCCATTGTGTCGGAGCTGTGCCAGGCACTGAGCAGTAGTCACTGCCGTGTACTGCTCATCACCCCAGGCTTCCTCCAGGACCCATGGTGCAAGTACCAAATGCTGCAGGCCCTGACTGAGGCCCCTGCATCAGAGGGCTGTACCATCCCACTGCTCTCAGGCCTGACTCGAGCCTCCTACCCCCCTGAGCTCCGCTTCATGTACTATGTGGATGGCAGGGGCCCAGACGGTGGCTTTCGCCAAGTCAAGGAGGCTGTCACACGTTGTAAGCTATGAGAGGAAGGGCAAAAGAGAAGGGGGTCAGCCACAGTGAATGATGTACTTTAAATTTTAGGAGATAGCCACTGTAGCCTAGTAGCTAAGCGTAGCTCAGACTGTCTGGGATTGGATCCTGGCTCCTTCACATTAGTTTATGAAAAGGTATTGGGCTAGTTCCTTAACCCCTCTGTGCCTCAATTTCCGCATTTGTATAATGAGAATAGTAGTATGTACCCTAAATAAGTATATTTACTAAGTAAGTGTTCAGGACATGGCCTGGTGTATATCAAGTCTTTAATAGTTACAAGCTGTTATTATATATTACATTGGAGTTCGTACGTGGTGCAAATGGTTAACTGCTTGACTACTAATTGAATGGTTGCTGGTTAGAACCCACTCAGAGGTGCCTCAGAAAAAGGCCTGGCAATCTTTTTCTGAAAGGTCACAGCCATTGAAAAATCTTATGGAGCACAATTCTGCTCTAACACTTGTGGGGCTGCCACAAGTTGGAACCAACTAGAGGGCAACTGGCATATATCAGTATTAACAGCAACAGATCTCTCTCACTGAGATTGGGCTGGAGATATCAACCAAGAGCTAGGAAGATGCCAGGAGGGACACTGACTTAGGAAGGCCAAAAGATATTTAAAAAAAAAAAAGGAAAGAATTACATATAATAAGTGTATCCAGGGGAGGGACATTATATCACAGTGGATTTGGAAGTGACACAATAGATAAAAAGAGAAAGAAAAGGCAGAGGCATGTTGAAAGGAAACAGAGATGCTGGGGTCTGGAGGTTAAAGTCCTGTGATTCTGTTTGTTCTCTTTCAGATCTGCAGACACTCAGCTGACCCTTCTTGTGTCACTGTAGGACCAAGAAAGTTGGAACAAAGCTGGTAATAGTGTTAAGAGAGCCCATTCAGGGCCTCGCGTTCCAGCAGAAGATGTGACAAGAGTGGAAGGAGCCAGAATGTGGAGGACTTTGTATGTGACCCTGGGATCAGATTGCCCATCAGGTTTCTATCTCTGTGGGCTCCTAGGAAGAAGGCCATGGGGAAGCTGGCAACTCCCCAGGGGGGCCATGAGGAAGCCAGGGACTCCCTAGGAAGGCAATGGGAAAGCCACAGAGTAGAGGTGGCAGGAGGTGGTGCTGATACCAAGATGACAACCAGGCATTCTGCTTCCTCCCTAATTGGACACAAAGGTTGGTACATACTTATGTTTTCTTCCAGAGTCAGCCACTGGGGTAGATACACACATCCCTCTTAAAGAGGTGACTCAACTGATTTAATAAGCCAGAAGCCTCGACAGCATACCTCAGCATGGATGATCTTTCTTGTTGCCTGGGGAGGCCCTGGAACAGGTGTCAGGAGAAAGTAATAAGCAGGTCCTTCACTCTCACACCACTACTGTTCCCTTTCCAGGTGAATCCCATTAACTCACATCAAGAAGCTACATGACAGATGCATTCAGCATTGTAATACATATCACTTTTATTGCATGAGTGTCGGACTCAAACCTAGAGCATTCTGACTATCCAGGAGAGGGGAGGGAGCTGGAAGGGTGAAGAACAAGGAAACCAGGGCTTAGAGCCTTCACCTGGGATCAAAAGGCTACTGGTAACAACAACAAAGTTAAAAAAAAAAAAGGCAAAATATAAATTTAGAATTAAAAAAGATCACAACTTTACATCAAAGGGAAAAAAAAAAAAAGGCTACTGGTGCTTTGGCACGTGGGGACTTCATTGGGTTTGGGCGGAACTGATGCTTCATAGTAGCTATCTTCACCTCTGAAATGATGAATCAGCATTTTTCTTTTGTGTTAGGCAGTCCCCATGTTAAGAAAAGGATGACTGTCTTTAAGTTGAATTTGTGGGTAAATTTGAATAGGTGCATACAGTTCTTATTTATCCTTCCTTTAGTGCAAGAAGTGGCTGGAAGCCTTTTCAGTGATTTAAAAGCTGCACACGCAGCAAGTGAAAGTGATTGTGATGAAGGATTTGTAGTGAATAGTGCTCTGGTAGTGTAGTGCCTAAGGCATCTGACTGCTTATCAAAAGGCTGGCAGTTCAGACCCAACAGCCACTCCTTAGAAGGAAGGTTGGGCAATCTACTTTCATAGTGATACCGCCTCGCCTCGGAAACCCAAGGAGGGGTCGCTATGAGTAGGATCTGACTTGATGGCAGTGTGTTTGTTTTAGGAGCTAGTTCAAGGGGCTGGTTCAATCATTTCAAAGTGAGGGCAAATTTACATAACATTAAAGGACGAGTAGAATTTTCCAGAAGTCATAAGTTGGTGACCCTGGGAATGCCTGTGCCTTGTAGGATAGGCACAGTTTCATTCGTCTGTTCTCAATAAAAGTTTGTTGTTGAACTGAAATGAATTTCATTATTCCCCTAATGTGTACTTTTGTGCCTCTTCTCTGACTTCCCCTTGCCATGTCCCCTCCTTTTACCTGGAAAAGAGTTATTTTTTAATTATGGATTATTTTGTTACATACAAAAGAACTAAACAATGTAATGCACACTTATATACCTCAAACCAAACTCACTGTCAGTGAGTCGTTTCCAACTCATAGTGACCCTGTTGGGTTTCCGAGGCTGTAAATATTTACAGATCACCCAGTCTTCCTTCCACAGAGCAGCTGGTGTGTTTGAACGCTGACCTTCTGGTTAGCAGTCAAGTCCCTTATCCACTACACCACCAGAGGTCCTCTCATATACATACTACCTAGCTTAAGAAATGAAACTTTACAATCCCTATAGCGCTCCTTTTGTGCCCTTATAGTCTTCTCCCTTCCCCCACCAGAAGTCCTCTCTATTTTGAATTTTGAACTTAACTTTTCTCTTTTAATTTTACTACCTATGTATGCATGCTTAAAACACATGTATAGTTTTACATGGTTTCTTTTATACTTTATACAAATTGTATTATTTTTTACTCTGCAAATTCCACCCCCCCACGTTTGACATTTGTCAGTGTGTGTAACTCCAGTTCATTCACTTCACTCCATTATGTAAATATACCACACATTCTTCTACAAATGGACATTTCAGTCATTTCCAGGTTTTCACCACTAAAAACAATGAGCCAATGAACATTTTTGTAGGTTTCCATGAGCAAGTGTTTCTAGGATTTAGCCTAATAGGGAACAGCTGGTTAGTAAATAAGCTACATCTTCAGTTTTACTAGATGACAGTTTTCCTTCCAAATTGGTTGTGCCAAGTTATATTCATATTGTTAGTGTACAAAAGTTCTCACTTTTTCATATTCCTGCAAACACTTTGAATGATCAGATTTTAATTTTTTTGGTAATCTGGTAGGTGCAAAATAGAATCCTATTTATTTATTTTTTCATTTTACCTTTTTATGAAAAATTCTATCTCCTATACTGAGAGGGAAGTTTGATGAATTCCCACACACCCATTACTCCACTTAACAATTACCAACTCATAGCTGTAATCTTTTATCAATAATCCTACCCATTCCCGAGGATGATTATTTTTTTATTGTGGCTTGGGTGAAAGTTTCCAGAGCTGAATGAGTTTTCCATTCAACAATTTATACACACTGTCTTGTGACATTAGTTGCAATTCCCTCAATGTAACAGCACTCTTCCTGCTGCCTCCCTGGGTTCCTGCTTCCATTCATCCTTCTTTACTGCCTTCTGAGCTTTGTTTTTGGGCAAATGCTGCCTTTTAGGCCTCGAATGGTTGATTATCCTGAAGAGTATGTTCCTCACGAGTGTTACTGTTCACCTTACAAGACTGTTTGTGATTTGGCTGCAAGGTGATCCTTGGCTTTGAAGCGTGTGTAGGGGCCACAGTCTTAGGGGTTCCACCAATCTTTATCAGATCAGTAGATTTGCTCTTTTTTATGATTTTGAATTTTGTTCTACATTTTTCTACCATTCTGCTCAGGAATTTCTGTGGTAATTCAGGGTGGGTAGTGGTAGCAGAGCACCATCTTGTTCTACCCTCAGATTATTATGAAGCAAATCCCAGGTATAATTTTATTCCTATATATTTAAATATGTATTTCTAAATGATTAAATGTATTTTAAAAACTTGACAATATAATGGTATCTTTTGAAGAATAGCACTTTTATTAATTTTAATATAAAAGATTTTTTTCATCTATTATTTTGTAGTCTGCTGTTTTGTATTTTATTTAGGAACTCCTTTTCTACTTCTGGGAGCTCTGGTCGTGCACTGCCTAAGGCTTTTGACTGCTAACCAGGAGGGTGGTACTTCAAACCCAACAGCCACTCTGCAAAAGGAAGAGGCAATCTATTTCTGTAAAGATTTACTGCCTTGGAAACGAAATGGGAGTCACTATGAGTAGGAATTGACCTGATGGCAGTGGGTTTGAGTTTCTACCCCTAGAGGCTTCTGCTGGCATAGTGGTTAAAGCATTCTGATAACCAAAAGGTTGGCGGTTTGAAGCTGCTTTGTGGGAGAAAGATGAGGCAGCCTGCTTCTATAAAGATTTGCAGACTTGGAAACCCTACAGGGCAGTTCTACTCTGTCCTGTAGGGTCACTATGAGTTGAAATTGACATAACGACAGTGGGTTTGGTTACTGTTTTGTTTTTTTTTCCCCCTACATCTAAGGAGCCCTGTGGTGCAGTAGTTAAAGTGCTCAGTTGCTAACCAAAAAGTTGACAGTTCGAATCCACCAACCACTCTGTGGGAGAAGGGTGTCAATTTGCTTCCATAAAGATTTACACCCTTGGAAACCCTATGGGGCAGTTGTACTCTGTCTTACAGTGTTGCTATGAGTATACAACAGTACACAGTAAAATTGAAGGATTATAGGTTTTCTGGTAATGATCTTATTATTTTGTGTGTGTGTGTGTGATTTGGGTGAACATTTACAGAGCAAATTCACTTTCCATACAGCAGTTCACAATGACATTGACTTTACCCCAGTGCAACAGCTCCCCTCCCACTTCCTCCTAATAGTTACCTCTTCCCTGTGTCCGTCCCTCCATGTACTCCTGCCCCCTGAGCTGTCTCCCTGTGCATAAACAGCCCTTCTTTCTCTCATGATTGTTCTCTCCAAGGAGTCTATCTACCTCAGGTAAATGTTCACCTCATATGCCTGTCTTTTGTTTGGCTGGAAGCCACAGGTGTGGGTTCAATTCCAGACCTGAAGGGCAGCTAGGGGCCATTGTCTCAGTGGTTCCACCAGGCTCTATCAGACCAGCAAACCTGGTCCTCTTTTTTTTTTTCCAAATGATTTTGAGTTTTATTCCACATTGTTCTCCCTGTCTATCCAGGATCTCCTACATAGATCCCCCTCTGAGTGGTTGACAGTGGTAGCTGGGCACCATCTAGTTCTTCTGGTCTCATAGTTGTATAGGCTGCAGATTGGATGGTATACCAGTCACTAGAACTAATTGTTTCCATGAATCTTTAGTTTTCTTCTTCTTTGCTCTGGACAAGGAGAGACCCATTGTTGCATCTAGATGGCTGCTTTCAAGCTTTTAAGATCCCAGTCGCTATTCGCCAAAGTAGGAGGTGGAACAATGTTTTGTTTAGTATGTTATGCCAATTGAGCTTGATGTCCTCAGCAACTATGGTCCCGAGCCCACAGGTTCAACTACTCAGTCCTTCTGGATAGCTGGCTGTGACCAAGAATGACTACCATCTTGTCCCTTGTCAGCTGTACTATAGACCTGGGAATTCTTACAGATCATACAAATACCCTTATAGGACCGCTGTCTGCCAGCCCTATACATGGTCTTAGGTACATTCCCCACTTCATAGACATACCTAATAGTTTAGCCTGTCCACCCATGTATCCACCTGTATGCCCACGTTTGCCTTCACTGACACTGCAGTACTGTATGTGCAAAAGGGTTCATCTTTTCCATCTATCTAACAGTATTGCCTCCCCTCCCCTCCCACTCCTGGTTACCAACAAAGAAAATTTCCTTCCATAGATAAACCTTTCCTTGACTTTTACAGTAATGGACTAATACTATATTTGTCCTTTTGTGATTGATTTATTTCACTCAGCATAATGTCCTCCAAGTTCATCCATGTTATGCGGTGTTTTGCAGATTCTACATTATTCTTTAGGGTTGCATAGTATTCCACTGTGTGTATTACCATAGTTTGGTTATCCATTCCTCAGTTGATGGACATCTAGGTTATTTTCATCTTTTGACTGTTGTAAATAGTGCTGCGATGGACATGGGTGTGCATATGTCTGTTGTTCTCATGGCTCTCACTTCTTTAGGATATATACCTAGTAGTGGAATGGCTCAATCTAATGGTATGTCTAATTCTAGCTTTTTAATGAATCGGCATACTGCTTTCTACAGTGGTTGTACCATTTTATAGTCCCACCAGCAGTGTATGAGAGTCCCACTCTCTCCACATCCTTGCCAGCATTTGTTATTTGTGTCTTTTTGAACTTTGCTACTAGTGCTGGAGCAAGATGGTATCTCATTGTTGTTTTGATTTGCATCTCTCTAATGGCTAATGATAATGCACATTTCTTCATATATTTGTTGGCCATCTGAATATCCTCCTTGGTGTCTATTCATGTCTTCTGCCCATTTTTTAATTGGATTACTTGTCTTTTTGTCATTGAGGTCTTGGTTGTTATTGTTGTTAAGTGCCGTCTAGTTGTTTCTGACTCATAGCGACCCCATGCACAGCAGAACGAACCACTGCCCGATCCCCCGCCAGCCCCACAATCCCTGCTATACTTGAGGTCTTGGAGTTTTCTATAAATTCTAGAGATAAGTCCCTTGTCAGATATGTCATTGCCAAATATTTTTTTCCCAATCTGTAGGTTGTCTTTTAACTCTTTTGGAGAAATCTTGGGAAGCACATAAACATTTAATTTTTAGAAGGTCTCTGCCTTAAAGATTCTTTGCACTTTGCAGTCTGGTATTTTAATGACCTCTGGTAGCTGAAGCTTCCTATAAGCTCAGTCTTTCCTTGAGCAACATCTTTTTATGAGCAGACTTCTAACCTTGTGTATTTTAATCAAAATTATACTTTAGTTGATGAATTTGTCAATAATGAGTAAATTTTTCTACAATTTCGTTTCACACCTTTCTCTCCCACTTGCTCTATTTCTGCCACATTAGCTATTCCTGTTTCCAAACATGTCAAGCTCATTTTTGCTTCAGGGTCTTTAGCATCTCATATTTGCTCTGCCTACAATATACTTCCTGGTCTCTTGACATGGCTGGTTCCTTCCATCATTCAAATCTTAGCTTATACATTACCACCTGAACAGGCCATCTCTGACCACCTTATCTACCGCCAGCCTCTGTCACATTACTTCTACTCATAGCATTTAGTCATTATCAAAAATTATGTTTACCTCACCCCACTGCCACTTGAATATAAATTCTATGAAAATAGACACCTCCTCTTATTCAGACAAGACTGACAGCGCTTGGAATGTAGAAAAGCAGCCCAGTGAGGGTGACTTCTCCAAACTTGCACAGCTAGTCAGTTTGTAACATCAAGGGAAAATGGACTAGCCAGAAATAATAGCCAAAAAAGAAATGTGGAATGACAGAAATTATAAGTAAAATTTTAATATGGAGGGGGAAAATCCTGATAGATTAATCATTCCTGGGCAGCATAGCAGGGACACCTGTAAAAGTGGATGCAGAGAAGGCAGAAGTCCTCAGCCCAGAAAAAAGAATCTGGTGTTGTAAATGCTATCTGCCCCTGTCCATTTACCTTTCTATAGCTTTACAGTACAAAAAGGGGCTGAATCTATAAAGAAAGGCATTTATAACAGTGAAAATGTCTGTGAAACAAAAATGAAAAAGGAAGAAAAATGGAGATAATTATTCTACATAGAAAAGTAACCAAGAAATAAAATTGGCCCAATAGACTTGTTTCAGACATATTCCTTTCACAATAACTAATCAATGTTTAATTCTGATTAAAATGTCAGTGTGGTGCTGCAAAGGAGCTCTTGTGGCTTAGTGGTTAAGTGCTTGGCTGCTAATTGAAGACTTGGGGATCTGCTCTCATAAAGATCACAGACCAAGACATCTATGGGGCAGTTCTACTCTGTCCTATAGGGTCCCTATGAATCTGTGAATCCACTTGAAGGCACACAGTGTGATGCTGCAAACATTAATGTGCTTGGCTGCCAAGCAAAAGGCTGGAGGAGTCCATCTTTCTGGAGGTGCCTCAGAAAAAAGGCCTGGTAATCTGTTGTTAAGTGGTGTCAAATTGGTTCCAACTCATAGCAACCCCCACGTACAACAGAATGAAACATTGCCTGGTCCTACGCCATCCTCACAATTCTTGCGGTACTTGAGCCATCATTGCAGCCACTGGGTCAACCCATCCTATTGAGGGTCTTCTTTTTTTCTGATCAGCTACCCAGCATAATATCCTTCTCTCGGGACTGGTCCCTCCCAAACAATATGACCAAAGTACAAGAGGTGAAGTCTCACTACCCTTGCTTCCAAAGAACATTCCAGGAGTATTTCATCCAAGATAGATTTGTTTTTTCTTCTGGCAGTCTACCAAAAAACAAAACAAAACAACCAAACTCACTGCTGTGGAGTGGGATCTGACTCATGTGACCCCTCCTTGGGTACCCAAGGCAGTATCACTATGGAAATAGATTGCCCAATCTTTCTTCTGAGGAATGGCTTGTGGGTTTGAACCTCCAGCCTTCTTGTTAGCAGTCAAATGCTTTAGGCCGTATGCCACCAGACCTCCTGGCAGTCCAAGGTATATTTAATATTCTTTGCCAACACCATAATTCAAATACATCAATTCTTCAGTCTTCCTTATTCATTGTCCAGCTTTCACATACATATGGGTTAGACACACCTTAGTCTTCCAAATGACATCTTTGTCCTTTAACAGTTTGAAAGGTGTTTTGTAGCAGAATTGCCCAGTGGAATAATTGTTTGCTGTTTTTTGACTGCTGTTTCTATGATTGCTGATTGTGAATCTAAGTGAAATGAAATTGTTGACAATTTTAATCTTCCCTCCATTTATCATGATGTGGCTTATTGGTCCAGTTGTGTGGATTTTTGTTTCTTTATGCTGAGGTGTAATCAATCCATACTGAAGGCTGTAGTCCTGGCAATCTACTTTTGTAAAAAATCAACCGTTGGAAACTATGGAGCACAGTTCTACTCTTACACACACAGGGTCGCCATGAATTGGAATCCACCCGAAAGCATCTGGTTTTAATTCAAACATAGTGTCACAAGACCAAGTACAATTAACTTGAATTAAAAGCGCTCCTTCCAGTCAGCTCACTGGAATGAGATCCGCTTCCACGGTGCCCGCTAGTATTTGCTGGTCAGGACGCCTGAGCACGTCGGGAATTGTAGTCGCAGCTCCCCATTCTCCCCAGCGAGAGGAGGCAGCCCAGGGCGGTGCCAAGAGGCAAGGGGAGGTGCTCGCGTTTGCGCAGGCGCACATTGCCTCCCCGGCAGCATGGCGGATACCTCGGCTCAACCCACGAAGAGAAAGCGCGAACTGGATGTGGAGGAGGGGGAAGCTCCTAGCACAGAAGAAAAGGAAGCTTCTGTTGGAAATGGTACCTCTGCGCCTGTCCGCTTACCCTTCTCCGGTTTTAGAGTGCAAAAAGTGCTGAGGGAGTCTGCGCGGGACAAAATCATTTTCCTACATGGGAAGGTACCATTAGGCAACCCTGATGGGGAAGGGATGAACCAATCATCTCCTCAGAGGCGGTTTTTTTTTTTTTAAAAAAAAGCATCTGGGCTGGAAAGTACCAATTTGCTCGGGGGAGGCGGAGTGCACCACTAGAATGCGGGGAGGGGGCTAGAGGACAGATAAGTGAGGGCATTAATACACCTATATCTAATTTTTATAAATCCTCCCTCGCTAAAAATAACAACTAACACTTGTGGAGGGTATAGCCTATAAAGGTCCTCTTGACAGGTCCCCTCCAGTCGGTTCTGATCCGTAGCGAACCTATATACAACAGAAAGAAACATTGACCGGTCCTGCGCCATCCTCACAATTCTTGCTATGCATGAGTCCATCGTGTTGCCACTGTGTCAATCCATTTCGTTGAGGAGCTACCCTTTTTCGCAGACCCTCTACCACGCATATCTTTCTTCAGGGACAGGTCCTTCCCCAAACAATGTGACCAAAGTAGGTGAGACCGTTCTCGCTAGCTATCCTTGCTGGTAAGGACTGCATTCTGGCCGCACCTCTTCCAGGCCAGTTTTGTTCCTTCTTCTGGCAGTGCATGGCGTTTCCAGTATTTTTTGCCAACAACACAATTCAAAGACATTAACTCTTCTTTGGTCTTCATGATGCCTTGTTCAGCTTTCACATGTATATGAGGCGATTAAAAATACTATGGCTTGGGTCAGGTGCACTTTAGTCTTCAAAGTGACATCCTTGCTTCTTAACACCTTAAAGAGGCCTTTTGCAGATTTGCGCAGTGTGGTACAACTTCTGATTTCTTGACTGCTGCTTGCATGGGTGTTGACTGTGGATCCTAGTAAAATCAAATCCCTGACAACCGCAATCTTTTCTCCATTTATTGTGATGTCACTTATTGGTCCACTTGTGAGCATTTTTGTTTTCTTTATGTTGAATAATCCATACTGAAGGTTGTAGTCTTTGATCTTCATCAGTAGTGCTTCAAGTCATCTTCACTGCCACCAAGCAAAGTTATGTCATCTGCTTATCACAGGTTGTTAATGAGTCTTCCTGCAATCCTGATTCTACATACTTTATATAATCCAGCTTCTTGGGTTATTTGCTCAGCATACAGATTTAATAATATGGTGAAAGGATACAACCCTGATGTACATCCTCCCTGATTTTAAACCATGCAGTATCCCTTTGTAATGTTTCAATAACAGCATCTTGGTCTATGTACAGGTTCCTCATGAGCACAAACAAGTGTTCTGGAATTCCCATTCTTTGCAACGTGATCCATAATTTGTTATGATCCACACAGTTGAATGCCTTTGCATAGTCAATAAAACACAAGTAAACATCTTTCTGGTATTCTTTGCTTTCAGCCTAGATCCATCTAACAGTAGCAATGATATCCCTTGTTCCCCATCCTCTTCTGAATCCAGCTTGAATTTCTGGTAGTTCTCTGTCAGTACATGGCTGCAGCCATTTTTGAATTATCTTCTCAAACTTTTACTTGTGTGTGACGTTAATGATATTTGATAATATCCACATTCTGTTGGGTCACTTATCTTTGGAACGGGCATAAATATAGATTTCTTTCAGTTGGTTGGGCAGATAGCTAGCTGTCTTCCAAATTTCTTGGTATAAATGAGTAAGCACCTCCAGTGCTACCTCTGTTGAAACATCTCAGTGGGTATTCTGTCCATTCCTGGAGCATTGTTTTTCCCAATTCCTTCAGTGCGGCTTGGATTACTTCCTTCAATACCATTGGTTCTTGATTATATGCTACCTCCTGAAATTGTTGAATGTTGACCAATTCTTTTTTGTACAGTGACTCTGTGTATTCCTTTCATCTTCTTTTGATGCTTCTTGTGTCGTTCAGTATTTTGCCCGTAGAATCCTTTAGTATTGCAACTCAAGGCTTGCATTTTTTCTTCAGATCTTTCAGCTTGAGAAATGCCAAGTGTGTTCTTCCCTTTTGTTTTTCTAAGTCCAGGTCTTTGCACATTTCATTGTAATTCTTTACTTTGTCATCTCGAACTGCCTTTGAAATCTTTTGTTCAGCTCTTTTATTTCATCATTTCTTCCATTCTCTTTAGCTACTCTCCATTCAAGAGCAAGTTTCAGAGTTTCTTCAGATATCCATTTTGGTCTTTTTTTCCTTTCTTGTCTTTTTCATGACCTTTTGTTTTCTTTGTGTATGATGTTCTTCTACCACTCATCTGTGAGTTTGTTGTATTTTGGTGGCTTGCGTGTTGCTGTGAGGCAGGAGGCTATGTCACTGGTATTTCGAATACCAGCAGGGTCACCTGAGGGGAACAGATTGCAGTGGAGATGGGGATGGTGCAGGGTTGGGCAGTGTTTTGTTCTGTTATACATAGAGTCACTTGAGTCAGAATCGACTCGATGGCACCTAACAATAACAACATCATGTTCTTGATGTCATCTTACAACTCATCTAGTCTTCATCATTGGTGTTCATGCTGTCAAATCTGTTCTTCAGGTGGGATATAATCAAGGTCATAGTTCGGCTCTCCTGGACTTGCCTTACTTTTCTTCAGTGTGAACTTGCATATGAGCCATTGATGGTCTGTTCCACAATCACCTCCTGGCCTTGCTTTGACTGATGACATTGAGCTTCTCTATCACCTATTTCCACAGATGTAGTCTATTTGATTCCTGTGTATTTCCATCTGGTGAGGCTCATGTATGTAGCTGCCCTTTCTGTTGTTGAAAAAAGGTATCTGCAGTGAATAAATCATTAGTCTTACAAAATTTTATCATGTGAACAGTGTCATTTTTATCACCAAGGCCTTATTTTCTTACTGCTAAAGTTTCTTCTTTGTTTCTAACTTTTACATTCCAATCACCAGTAATAATCAATACATTTTGATTGATAAATATATATAAAGTCCTAGTAACCCAGTGCAGCCACTCCTCGGAAGGAAGTTTGGGCAGTCTACTTCCGTAGTGATACCATCTCGGAAACTCAAGGAGGGGTCGCTATGAGTTGGGGCCGACTCGATGGCACATAACAACAACAAGAAGTAACCCAGTGAATGCTGCTGGACTGTCTTGCTCATCCCTGTCACTGCACCCACATAACCCCTGCCACTGAGTGGATTCTGACTCAGTGATCCTATAGGGAAGAGTAGAACTGCCCCATAGTGTTTCCAAGGCTGTACATCTTTCTCCCACGGAGCAGCTTGTGGATTCAAACTGCTAACATTTTGGTTAGCAGCTGAAAGCCTTAACTACTGCAGCAGCAGAGCTTCTTGGACACACAGAGATTAGGAAATAAGATCCCTGCTTTTCAGACCTTTACCCTTAACAGAAGAGCCAGTTTGTTAAATAGGTAATCAGTTCCCATGGAGCAGCAGTGGTTCAGTTGTAGAATTTTCCTCACCTTCCTTGTGGGAGACTGCAAAAAGGGCATGGAGGTGGCATCACCTGACCTTCTCTAACTTCACAAGAGGGAGACAGAGTCACCATCAGCAGCCCAAGGCTTATTCCTATGAGGCCAGACATACTGCCACTCTCCAACCTTTTTACTAACTCTGACACCAGCCATCCCTTCCATGTACTCACTGCTTCTCTGCTGGGTTTGATAATTCGTTGCAGTGGCAACACAGAGCTCACAGACAATACTTACAATTATGGGGTTTATTAGGGAAGTAACAGGCTACAATTCAGGTTCAGGAACATGCTCAGGATACAGTTCTGTCAGGACAGTCTCCCCTCTGCTATTCCCTCAAGCACATCTTTCTGGCCCTTGGCCTCTTGGCCTGGCCTCTGCCCTGTTCAGGAAAGTGTTACAAAGCTCTTCTAGCTCTGCCAATAGGTATACCTTGGTGCACCCCACTCCTCCAGCAAGCCTCCTGGCCAATGGCACTCAGTTTTCTCACTCCATGGACCAGTAAGGCTGCCTTTGTTTCATGCCTCTTGGTTCCACTGCTGCCATCTCTCTGCCAGGCACCTCTGCCAGGGTGTCTGCCAGGGCGTCTCTGCTAAGGAGGTCCAGCACAGGGATCTTGGATCCAAGGACATGCTCCACTCCAACTCTAGTTCTTCTCTCTAGATAGCAGTGAGATTCCCCCTCTGCCTCTAGGACGGCTTATTTTAAGCCCAGCATCATAGGAAAACTAACCAATTTTTACGTTAGAGTTCCACACACCTTATTTGCATGGTCCCACCCAGTAACCGGTGGGAGTTGCAAAGACTGAAAAGCCATACAAAGTAAGTCAGTATACCACAGAGACCTAGGTTTGATTCCTAGCCAGTGCACCTCACGTGCAGCTACCACTTACTTGTTTGTAGAGGCTTGAGTGTTACTTTGATGCTGAGCTTTCGGCAGAGTTTCTAGAGTAACATCAGGAAGAAAGGCCTGGTGGTCTACTTCCAGAAATAAGTCACTGAAAACCCTGTGGATCACAGTGGTCCCATCAACAGCTAATCATGGAGATGCTGCAGGGCTGGGGCATGTTTGGTGCCACTGTGAATGGCGTCATTGTGTGTGGAGTCACCATGAGTTGGGGCTGACTTGATAGAAGCTAACAACAGTCAATTCCATATATTGTGCACTGACAGGCCAGGCACTGAGTTAGGTGCTGGGTGTGTACAGATGAAAGGTTAGTGTGTGCTGTTTAGGGGTGCAGAGTGTTCCTGGGAAAACATCTGCATACATGACTGGCTTTAGTGCCATCTGCTCAGCTCAAGTGTAGGGGTTGAGGAGAGAATGGAGACCATCCTAGGAATCAGTGACAGTGAGGAGGCAGATATCAGGGTTCCCCAGAACTCTTAGTAGGAGCTCCCACCTTTGAAAGTGGGTCCTGGACCTAGGCTTCCATCTCCTCTTCCTGTGTCACTTATTTTTTTATAAGGTTCTGTCTAGTTCTCTCAGCCCCACCCATCTTCAGTTTGCAGCAGGTGCTGAATGTCTTAGCCGTGAGAGCCTTCAAGCTAGAGTTAGTTGGGAGACCCAGATTCTAGCTTCTGGTTCAATACTGGTCATGTGACCTTGGGTAGGTCACTTAATCTCTGGAGCTCTCATTTTCTTCACCTGTAAAATGGAGAGAATTTGATAGAGGCCTTGTAAGGCTAAAATAAGAAGATAGCTGAGAAGCTTTGCATCTTTTGGAAGAAAGTTGTGAGCAGTAAGCAAGGTAAGCACTAGTTTATTTGTGAAATTGTTCACTGCAGATTAGTAAGTAAGCACAAGTGAACAATTTCACATTTTTTTCACCACATCAGAAGATTCTGCTTCTAGGTATGGCTGGCATATGACTTTCTCCCAACCCCACAGGACCTTCCTACAGAATCAAAGCCTCTTTTCAAAAGACAGAGTACTCAGTAAGCAAGCTAAGCACAGGCTCACTGTGCTTACCTATAAATTTGTAGTGAACAGTTTCACATGAGTTTTGCTTTGCTTATTGGGTAATCCGCCCCTCAGTAAGAGAGCTGCTGCAGGGATTTGATTTATGAGATGCCTTCTATGGAAGAAGAAACATGAGTGTTATTGGGAAAATTGCAGGGAAAGAAATCTCAAGCATGGGGATTTCACAGGCCCTGGGAATTTCTGCCTTTTCTCTCCAGGCCTCACCGGTGGCTCTGCTCTGACCTGTTAATGGTGTCTTTGCCCACAGGTGAATGAGGCCTCTGGGGATGGGGACGGAGAAGATGCTGTTGTGATCTTGGAGAAGACACCATTTAAGGTGGAACAGGTGGCCCAACTCCTGACTGGCAGCCCTGAGCTCCAGTTGCAGTTCTCCAATGATATCTACAGCACCTATCACCTGTTCCCTCCAAGGCAACTGAGTGGTGAGCAGAAGTGGCTGCATGTGGGGAGAGTGGATGTTGGGAAATTCAATGTGGTCACCAGGACTCTGTAACTCATTTGTATACTGCAATGGTTCTCGATGGAGGGAAGGAGGAATTTTGCCCCTCCCCCAAGGGACATTTTTATTCAGAGACATTTTTGGTTGTCATAACTAGGAGTGCTACTATCATCCAGTGGGTAGTAGAGGCCAGGGTTGCAGCTAAACATCTTACAATGCACAGACTAGCCCCTACCACAAAGAATGTTGTCAAAATGTCAGTAGTGCCAAGGTTGAGAAACCTTGTTGTGTGTAGTATGTTTTGGGGAGGAAGTGTGATTCATAAGACAGAAAGGTTTCACCCACTAATTGAGTAATAATAATTGTCTACATTTATTAACCCTTACTATTGTACTACCCACCATTCTAAGTATTTTACATGTATTATTTTATTTAATCCTTAAAACAGCCCTATGTGATAGGATTTTATAGGTAAGGAAATGGAGGTTTTGAAAGGTTGAATAACAAGTTCCAAATCACAGATTTTAATAGGTGGCAGAAACACATAAGTTCTTTCAGTGGACTGAAATCTTGTTCCCCACGCTATTGTGGACCAAGCAGTGTGCTGGGTGTTGCCAACATCAGTTACTTCCTAGAGGAACTGCCTGTCTGGGGAGAGAAATAGCGTGATCAAGGGAGATGGACTTGAGAAAGGCAAGAATTCATGAGTTAAAGAAAGGTTTGTTTTTTTACCTTTCATTATCATGTTTTTAATTGTGTAAATATATAAGTAACAAACCATTTACTGTTTTTAACCATCTTCACATGTATAGTTCAGTGACATTAATTACATTCATCATGTTCAACCATCACCATTAAACATTTCCAAATTTTTCTATCACCCTTAACAGTAGAACAGTGTCCCCTAAACCCCTAAGCTTTATGTCTACCTTTTCCCCTCCCTCCCACCTTCCCCTAATAACCATGGAAACCAAAACTGAACTCAGTGCCATCAGTCAGTTCTGACTCAGTGACCTCCAGTGGGCTTCCAAGGCTATAAATCTTTATGGAAGCAGACTGCCTCATCTTTCTCTTGCAGAGTGGCTAGTGGTTTCAAACGACTAACTTTTTGGTTAGCAGCTAAATGCCTTCACCACAGCATTATTGTTTTAATAATCATTAAAACAAAAACAAAACTCACTGCCATCGAGTCAATTCTGACTCATAGTGACCCCTCCTTGGATTTCTGAGGCAGTATCTCTATGGAAGTCGATTGCCCAGTCTTAATAACCATTAGTAACAAATAATAGTAGGCACTCTGGTGGCATAGTGGATAAGGTATTTGGCTGCTAACTAGAAGTTCAGCAGTTCAAACCCACCAGCTGCTTGGAAGGAAGAGGGAGCAGTCAGTCTGCTTTGTCAAAGATTTATAACCTCAGAAAGTCAATGAGGATCGCTATGAGTTGGAATTGACTTGATGGCAGTGAGGTTTGTTTTTTTTTTGTTGTTGTTAACTAATAATAAAGTTTGATCTCTGTACATTTACCTATTCTATGTATTTCATATAAATGGGATCATATAAAATTTTTTCTTTTGTGGCTGACTTATTTCACTCAGCCTAATCTTCAATCTATGCTGTAGCATGTGTCAGGAAAGAGGTTTTGTGGTTGGTTAGTTTGTTTTTTAATTTATTTTATTTTGTTCTTCAGAATAAATACAGCAAAACATAGACCAATTCAACAATTTCTGCATATACAGTTCAGTGACGGTGATCACATTCTTCAAGTTGTGCAGCTATTTGCACCCTCATTCTCACCCTTGTTCTGAGTTGTCCCTTCTCTGTTGACATAAACTTATTGTCCCCTAAGTTTCCTGTCTAAACATTTGAGCTGCTGTTGTCAATTGATACCATTTAGATAGTTCTTAAAAGAAGGAGAGGTTTGTGTTTGATTGCATGTATTTTAAAATTTACTGAAAAGAAAAATATTCTGTGCCAAAAGCCAAGCATGGCAGATGCTGTTCCTCTTTCAATTGTTAGATTTTATAGACAGCTTTATTGGAAGCATGGTGGGGACTGGTTGACCTTAAAGATTAAGGAAATCCTGGGATCTCTTTCGTAGCATATGGCAGTTTTGCAATATCCTCCTGTCTTTTTATTTGCCTTCCAGCATTTTAGAACACACTTTGGCTTTACGGATATCCTGCCACAGTCTTTTTAATAGATTTGGGCTTTTCTGCTCCTTCAAGAAAGAGTGCTGTTGTTATCCTTTGGAAATATATGTGCTCAATTGATGTGACAAGCAAACCTTTACAACTGAACGGAAAACAGCCTGATCCTCCTTTGAAAGAGAGCCAGATTAATTGGTTCAAGTTGACAGAAATGGACAGCTGTATTTACTTCTTTAGGGGCTGACATTTAAGCAAATGTATTCTTCAACATGGGGTGGGAGAAACATGACAGAAGCCACTGTGGCCAAACAGGGCTGGGGGCAGCCACTAAACTGCAGGCCCTGGGGCCTTCCCCAGTCCCTCCACCCACGCTAACCGTCTCCTAGCCAAGGTCCAGAGGAGTCAGTCCAGATAGTTACCCTGTAGAATCCATAACCTTCTCTTTCTACTGTATTTTATTTCAGTTTTTCAGCGCTTTTGTAACTGCACACAACTGGCTGTGGCCACTGTTATCTCTTTCTATTTTTTAATGTTTTTTTCCAACATGAGAACTGAAAGAGTCTGTTCTTGGCTCACCACAGATCCACTTCCCCATGAGGAACCATAGAAGTTTCTCTCTCCCTGGTACCACCCCCTGCCACCTGGCAGTCTCAGCTTCACTTTTTCAGGGCTCACTGTCTTCTTAGCAAAAGTGTTAGGATAAGTATGGTACATTATGCTTTCATTTTCTCTATTCAAACTAGGCATGGTGCTTTAGAATAGTTGATAAATTCTGACTCATGGCCACCCTGTGTGTGCACTCCATAGGGTTTTCAAGACTGATCTATGGAAGCAGATTGCTGGGCCTCTGTTTCTGGAGTACCTCTGGGTTGGTTTGAACTGCCAGCCTTTCCATTAGTAGTGAAACACTTAACAGTTTGTGCCACCCAGGGACTTCTAGTATGATTGGCAAATGAATAATTTGCTTCAGGTCTCTGTGCTGGGCTTTCTCTTCTTCTTTAGCTGCACAGACTATTTTTAATCAAGGATTGGCAAATTCTTCCAGTAAAGGGCCAGAAAGTAAATATTTTATGTCTTACAGGCCACCTAAGATCTCTTGCATCTTCTTTTTTTTATTATTTTTTTAAACAGCCATTTTAAAACTTAAGAAAACTCTTAATAGTTTGTGGGTTGTTCAGATACAGGCCATGGGCCAGATTTAGCCTGCTGGCCATCATCTGCCAACCCGTGTTCTAGGTTTTCTCCACTCAGAGTGTGGTCTATAGTGTGGTCTATTGTCACCTTGTGAGAGCTTGCTAGAAATGTGGAGTCCCAGGCCCCATGCAGACTCTGGAATCAGAATCTGAATTTTAGCAAAATCCCTAGGTGATTTAGAGGTACATTAAACTCTGAAAACACTTTAGATGTTGTTTGTGTGCCGTGCTTACTTCTCCGTCCCTGACCATTTGGAAGTCTTGTGGGTACTTCACACTTAACATGGCTCAAGCAGAACTCTTGATTTCCCCCCTGTCCCTAAACCTCCCCTACCCCTCACTTACCCTGTCATCTAACCAGTTGTTCAAGCTGAAAACCTAGAAGTCATCCCTTAGCAAGTTCTCTTGGCTGGGCCTCTAAAATAAATCCTGAGCCCTCTTTTTCCTTCCCTCCACTGCTGTCGTCTGGAGTCTTGAGAGCTGCCTGCTGGTCCTCTTGTTTTCCATCTTGCTCTCCTCTCGTCTGTTCTCCAGAGAGCAGCCAGGGTGATCGTCTCAAAACAGGAAACAGCCTGTTGCCCACCTCCTCCTCCCATTCAAAGCCTTCCAGTAGCTTCTTATGTGCTTGGAATTAAATTCAGACTTCTTACCAATACTTGCAAGGTCCCACATGATTTGGTCCCTGATTTTCTGACCTCATGTTCTTCAATTATGCATTTGCCTCAGTGGCTTTCTTTCCATTCCTGGATCATGCCAGACTCTTCAGGAGTTTTTGCATTTGCTGTTTACTTTGCTTCTCTTCCTTGGCTCTTCACTTTGATAACTCTTTCTCATTGTGATAGTTAAGGTTGTGTGTCAACTTGACTGGACCATGATTCTGAGTGGGTTAGCAGTTATGTTATGGTCATCCTCCATGATGAGATGTGCTAAGAGCAGCCAGTCAGTTGAAAGGGAGTTTCCTTGGGTATGGGCTGCTTCCAATGTATATATGGACATCCTGGCAAAGTTCTCTGGCTTTCTGGTAGATCTGGATCCTACATCTGCCTCACATTGTCTCTGGTTCCTGAACTTGAACCAGTAGCCTGCTGATCTTGGGATCGTTGCCTTTGCAGTTTGTGAGCCAGCAATCTGCCATTTTACTTGTTGATCTTGGATTCATCAGCCTCCAAGACCTGCTATATTGCCTACTGATCTTGGGTTCATCAGCCCCTGCAGCTGCATGAATCAGAGGCCTCCAGCTTGACGTTTGACCCACAGAGTTAGGACTTGCCAGCCTTTACAGCTGCATGAACCATTTCCTTGAGATAAAATTTTCTCCTTATATATGTAAGTTTGGGAGCTCTGGTGGCATAGTGCCTAAGGCATTTGACTGCTAACCAGAAGGCTAGCAGTTCAAACCCACTAGCCACTCCTCGGCAGGAAGGTTGAGCAATCTACTTCTATAGTGATACCGCCTCGGAAACCCAAGGAGGGGTCACTATGAGTCGGATCCCACTCCACGTGAGTTTGGTTTTTTGTTTATATGTAAGTTTCACTGATTTTGCTTCTCTCCAGTACCCAGTTTAAGACACAGATCATTCAAGTCTGTCATTCATCATGAGCTCAAATGCCCTCTTCCTTCCTTAGGTTGCCCAAAAAATCT